CAGACGCTGCTCCCTCCTCCATCCTGCACTGGAGACACGACGAGAGAGAGAGAGAGAGAGAGAGGGGGGAAGAGCCGCCATCGGCACACACACACATCGGCCACATTTTCCGCTCTTTAGGAAGCAAGGGGGGGATATCCCTGCAAAGGCAATCCAAGGAAACGGCTCCCATCAGCGGCAACCACGGCAGAGACGGCCAGCTTCCTCTTCTCCTCCAAGATCAAGCCCCCCCACGCCTCGCTCTCCAGCACTTTTTGGGCCCGAGATATGGCAATGGTAGTTAGCAGCTGGAGAGATCCGCAGGAGGACGTGGCCGGGGGGAACCCGGGAGGCCCCAATCCGGCCAGGGATCAGCAGCAGGCGCCCTCCGCCGCCCCCCACACGCCGCAGACCCCCAGCCAGCCGGGACCCCCTTCCACGCCCGGCGCGGCCGGGGACAAGGGACAGCCGGGCTCGGGCCAGAGCCAGCAGCACATCGAGTGCGTGGTGTGCGGGGACAAGTCCAGCGGCAAGCACTACGGCCAGTTCACCTGCGAGGGCTGCAAAAGTTTCTTCAAGAGGAGCGTCCGCAGGAACTTAACCTACACATGCCGTGCCAATAGGAACTGTCCCATAGACCAGCACCATCGGAACCAGTGCCAGTACTGCCGCCTCAAGAAGTGCCTCAAAGTGGGCATGAGGAGGGAAGGTGAATATTTCTTCTGTGCACATGTGTGTAGTCTTGCTGCTAGGTGTGTGTGCCTGCTAAAACCAACAAATTATGCCTCCAGATTTCCCTTTGTTTTTTTGTTTTTTTTTTACTCATGTGGTGCCCCCCTTTTTTTTTTATTACATTGTGATGCCATTAATATTAATAATTGGAGCTCTCCCTGTGTTTGTGTGTGTGTGTGTGTGTGTGTGTGTGTGTGTTTTGTCTGTGAAAACATGCGGTGGGATGTTGGCTGATCCTCCTTAGATGTGCTCCTCCATCATTACACAAAACTTCTGGAGCAGGCAGCACCCTAAGCTTTGTGTCACCGATGACACTTGGAGGAGGCTCGCACAAGTGACATCAGCCTTGCCCCTTGTTCCAGGCAGCATTTGGCCTTGTCACACTCCATGACATACCCTGGGAGAAGTTTGGCTAACAGCACTGTGTTATACATTACTTCATACCTGCTCGCTATCCATTCTGATGCTGTAAAACGTCCACCCTCTCTGCACAAACTGAAATATATTTATCTCCTTTTTTTTTTAACTCAGCAAAGCTTCTTCCTGGGTCCCTTTTCATCTAGAAATTGTCAGTGCTGGCCAAAATTGAATCCATGCAAATCTAGATTAGTTTTTGAATTAGTTATTTTGCACTAAAAACAGAAATAAGACCCTTCCTAAGCCTTGGCTTGTCTAATTCAACTTAAAATCACCCCTAAATGTTGAAGTAAAACTAAATAACAGCCATTAAAACTACAACAAAACCTCCTGGATAGGATGTCATGTGTAATATCTATTTTTATGTTGATAAATACACAAGACTGAATGGACATGTGTCTTTATTCAACCTTACCTACTATGTAACTATGTAAATAAAAAGAGAGATCAGGGATACAGAAGATAAGGGATACAGGAGATCAGGGATACACATGATTTGGGATACAGAAAATCTGGGATACAGGAGATCAGGGATACAGGAGATCTGGGATACAGGAGATCTGGGATACAGGAGATCAGGGATACAGGAGATCTGGGATACAGGAGATCAGGGATACAGAAGATCAGGGATACAGAAGTGCAAGGATGTAATAATGGATCAGAAAGGATTTTAAAAAATGTCTGATTTATAAAAGAGGTGACATAGTCTCCAAGCTGCCAATTTCTGTGTGTAAACAGCAAAGTGTGCCATGTTGTGTGTTAAACTTCTTGTTTACATGGCGAGGTAGCTGGCACTTCTGGAGTCAAGCAAAAGCTCACATTAAAAAAAAAAAAAATATCAGACTTTGGTCAGCTTTCCCGAGTTGAAGCATAAATAAGCTTGCTTACGTTCAGCTCCCTTGCAGTTAATGAATACAGCGTTTTGCATCTAAGCTGTGGGCACTCAGTGTGCCAGCCCTCATAGTATGCTTTGCACACACACAGGAAGCATTACTACCTGTATTAATTGGCTGGCTGAGGAATTAATTCCCACAATGTTTAACTATTGTAAGTCCTCTCTTTTTTTTTTTTTTTTTTACTATTATTATTATTTAACCATATCCTGACATTTCCAGGATCCCAGAGGCTGAGCAGTGCACTGAGTGATAAAAGTTACACAACAGCATGTTCCATCAAATGATCCTTTTATTAGATTTCAGATTAGTAGATCAGAAGCAACATTTACATCTAGAGAGGATCCAGCAATGAGACTTATTAAGGACTCCCATGTTTACATCTCATATTGTATTGCTGTGGTGTCACTTTGTATAGTTATGATCAAGTGATTGTATTTTGTGTGTGTTTTATTTTATTTTTTAATAATAAGTGGCAGTGACATA